TAGAATATTCCTTTGTGCCCTGGATTGGAGTTTGCGTATAAGTCAGAGAGGACATTTGTTTTCGACACCTCGGCAGACTTGAAGGTATGAACCTGTCCATCCTTCGGCTGCGCGTAGACAACGACGACCATCCCCACATTTACGGGTGCCTCTAGGTCCCATAGCGGTAATGCCAAAACAGACCGACTCATCGACCACGCCCGCCACGCCGAATGGCTCGGTTCACGTTTAACCGATCATGCGGGGAGATCTGTTTATGTCTTTGCCTTGCCTTGGTCTTACACAGCTGGTTACTTCGCCTACGCGGATTCCAGACATGGAGGATCATGCGCCTTCCCTGTTGGACCTTGTGCTGACCTCTCATCCTGACGGATGGCAGATTTCCATCGACGCCCCTCTAGGCTCGTCGGACCATTGTCTTGTCCGGAGTGTGATGCCACTCACACTAACGTTGCGGTTGCATTCTGCAGGCTGCCGCCATGTTTGGCACTATAGGTCGGCCGATTGGGATAGGATGCCGTCTTTTTTTGCATCCTACCCTTGGGGGCGGATTTGCTTCTTGCTGTACGATCCCAGCGTTGTTGCTGATTCTGTCGCTAATGAGGTACTTAAGAGTATGGAACTTTTTATTCCATCCTCTGTGGTACCCATCGGAGGCAGATCCCAGCCATGGTTTGGTCGCTCCTGTAAAATAGCGTCACCCTATCAGCAGGAGTGCTACCGGGCCTGGGCTGACACATTAACGTCTCGGAATGTAAACACCAGTGCTCTTGAAATTAAGTATAATTCCGCCTCCAGGCCCTACAAAAGAATCATTGCCAAGGCAAGGTTTGAGCACATTGGCAGAATTGGCGAGACGCTAGTTTGCCTTCCTTCGGGAACCCGTGCATTCTGGTCTCTCGCCAAGGCTGTTCAATGGAACTTCTGTCAGTCATCACAACAATTCCACGGCGGCGGCGTGGCCTGAAAATTTTCTCGGCGGCAGCGGCGTCGCGGCGGCGCTGCGTGGCTGGCCGTTATATTGTTTTGTCAGGAAGAGATTTCTTCAAAAACACTTAAAGAAAACTATATTGTTGGTACTAAAACAGCTTTATATTTTTTTAATAAAGCCCTGGCGAGCCCCAGCTCAGTGATCGGAACAGTATTTCATGTGAGGCCGAACCTGCGCCTTGTAAAGTTGCAGGCGGTGTGCCGGCATGAAATACTGTCCCGCTCTGTTGAGCACGCAAAGCGTTTTAGAGGCCAAGTTGGCCTTTTCTTCCAAGTGATTACGAAACTTGCACGTCACTCGATATGTCGACGCCGAGGATTCCGATACTGGCTGAGGCAATAAGGGGAGTGCCTTGAAACTGAGGAGATGCTCCGATCTACAATAAAGCTGGTGATTCAATTGCACAATTTCTCAGGAAGCACATAGAAAGGGAGCTTCGAAAGAAGCGCTTTGTGCCAAACCCGATCGAGGGCTTCGCAATGTCCAAGCTAACGGCCAATGCCTCCACTTGGACTCATATGCCTCCGCCCATCTATGAGTCAAATAGACCAGAAGCCCACTAGCTGACCGACCCCGACGAAAACCGTATTGGCGGTCACTCATTAGCTGGTGGTCCTCAAAATACCGCATGAGCTGGCAGTTTATAATGGATTCCATTATTTTGGAGAACAAGGTGATGGCGATAAGTATAGCTAGACGGGTCTGAGCGGTCGCCTTTTTTATCGCAGTTAGAATAGCCGAGGATCACAATCTCTGCGGATGGGATCTACTATAGCAAGGAATCTGTAGCCATTTTGAAGTGGTCGATGAGTTGGCCTGTTTCGACATTACCGCTATGGGACCTATAGATGCACCCGTAAACATGCGGATGGTCGTCGCTGTCTACGCGTAGCCAAAGGATGGACAGGTCCTTCAAGACTGCCGATGCGTCGAAAATAGATGTCCTCTCTGATGTATACGTAAACTCGAGCCTGAGGCACAAGGAGTGTTCCAATTTGTAGCCCGGGTAGGAGAGATACGAAGTATCAGCCGGAGAGGACACCTACGTCTCGGTCAGAAAGAGCAAGGCCGGCTTCGCCGTCTCGAGATGGTAGTGGACGGCGATTAGGTTCGAGTGAAGTCCCCTGATGTTACAGAAAGTTACGTGGCAGGGGTCGCCTTGGTCTTGTTGCTCAGCTTGCCCCGAGCCCCTTATTGTCTTGAGCGGAATCTCCGCGCCCCCCTTCCCCCTCCCCCCCAGAATACTTGGGGCAGCCTGGGCACCCAAGAATGGTAAGTCCCTCAGGAGTGGAGTAGCTTGATCGTGGATGCTCAGCAAGGGATTTTCCATTACCAGGGATGCTGGTAACCCTCCTGGGATAGTATTACATTTAGTTCCGTTGCCATGTTGACCCAGGGGGGGGATTGGTTCTCCTGCACTCACCAGACCAAACGCAGAAGCAAATCTTCCACTTAATACCGGTATTCTGTGAGGTCGGGTCGTGGTACCACCCCGGCACATACGTGCAACACCACACAACAATACACGTTCAATCGGTGAAATATTCGACTCGATTGAGTGAGCGACGAGCGTGGCGTGGCGAAAGGCGAACTAATACGGTCGGGCCGCGCGTGTGAGCGGGAAAGGAAGTTGCGACACGTCGCGAAGGCGCGCCGCGTGAGCTCACGGCGACGGCGGGCGCGTCGGCGCGGCGTTTATATCTACTCTGCACAGAGACTCACTGGCCCATGCCCATGCCCATGAGAAAGCCGAGTTGTTACTTTCTCTTTTTGCGTCCAACTCGACTCTTGTTGATGGGGGGAACACAACGCCGACCATTCCGCGGTGTGAGTGCTCCATGCCGGATGTGCTGTTTACACATCGCTCGGTGCGTAAAGCACTTCTGTCTCTGGACGTCAGCAAGTCGAGTGAGCCTGATGGAAGCCCTCCCATTGTACTGAAGACGTGTGCTCCGAAGTTGGCGCCGGTTTTAACGCGTCTTATCCATAACTCCTACTCCCAGTACAGTATACTCCTATATCCCAATATACTCCCAGGCGTAGTACCGAATTCATGGAAGACAGCTTTGGTCCACCCGATCCCTAAAAAAGGCGACCGCTCAGACCCGTATAACTACAGGCCTATCGCCGTCACCTCCTTGTTCTCCAAAATAATGGACTCCATTATAAACTGCCAGCTCATGAAGTACCTTGAATATCACCAGCTGGTGATCTTCTGGTCTACCTGACTCATAGATGGGCGGAGGCAGTAGAGTACAAGGCGGAGGCGTTGGCCGTTAGTTTGGACATTGCGAAGGCCATCGATCGGGTTTGGCACAAAGCTCTTCTTTCAAAGCTCCCTTCCTATGGGCTTCCCGAGAAATTGTGCGATTAGATTACAAGCTTCCTTGCAGATCGGAGCATCAAGGTCGTTGTAGACTGTGCATGCTCCGACTACAAGCCTATTAACTAAAAGCGCTTTTTTCGAAGCTCCCTTCCTATGGCCTTCCTTGCTGATCGGAGCATCAAGGTAGACGGTGCATGCTCTGATTGCAAACCTATCAACGCTGGTGTTCCACAATGCTGCGTGCTATCACCAACGCTGTTTCTTCTGCATATCAATGATATGTTGCAAACTGGTAACATTCAGTGCTATGCAGACGACAGCACTGGTGATGACTTATATACCGGCCGTGCCAATATTTCTCGGGAAAACGTCGCAGAGTATCGGGACAAACTTGTGTCTGAAGTCGAGTCTTTGCTGAAGAAAGTCTCGGATTGGGGGCGACAAAATCTAGTCCAGTTCAATCCCCATAAGAAACAAGTTTGCGCGTTTACCGCTAAAAAGAACCCCTTTGTCGTATCTCCTCAGTTTCAAGGCACTCCCTTTGCTGCCTCAGCTAACATCAGAATCCTCGGCGTCGACATATCGAATAGCGTGCAGTTTCGTGGTCACTTGAAAGGGAAGGCCAAATTGGCCTCTAAAAAGCTTGGTGTGCTCAGCAGAGCGAGACAGTATTTCTGCCGGCAAAACGCTTGCAACTTTACAAAGCGCAAATTCGGCCTCACATGGAATACAGTTCTCATCTCTGGGCCGTGGCACCCCAGTCCCGCTCCTTCCACTTGACCGCATCCAGCGCAGAGCGGTTCGAATCGTAGACGACCGAGTTCTTTCCGATCGGCTCGATTCACTGGCGCTGCGTAGGGTTGTTGCATCCCTTTACATTTCTATCGAATTTATCACGGGTGCGCTCCGAGGTTATAGTTCGGATTAATTCCAGCCGCCAAATTTCACGAACACGCATTGTGTCAAAATTCACGATACCATCCTCACCATCTAGATGCTTCGCGGTCTACCACTGTTCGTTTTACTAGGAGTTTTCTTCCTCGTACAACTTCTCCGTGAAATTGTTTACCACCGGAGATTTTTCCGTACCGATTCGACTTAGGTTTCTTCAAGAAAAGAGCTTACTCCTTTCTAAAAGGCCGGCAACGCACCTGCAATTCCCCTGGTGTTGCAATTGTTCATGGGCGGCGGTAGTCACTTACCATCAGGTGAGCCGCATGCTCGTTTGCCCCCTCTTCTATTAAAAAAAAACCTTACCGTGCGTACACTCCTGTGTGTGTGACCCGTGTCAATGTAATAGTTAGTATACCTATCAATTTTGCAAACGCGGCCTTTAAATCCTCAAAACTTATTTATCAACATAAAACCGACAAAAGCAAACTTAAACAGCATCAGAATTTATGCATAAAAACAGAAACCTAGAAAAAAAGTTTTCTGTTGACCGACCTATGTTATCTTTTCCAATTAAACTATATGACTCTACCAAATTAAAAACTATATTTCAACGGTCAAAACGGCTTCCTGACTCCTAAATTGATGTTTGTCTGTCAGTGGCCATGATGTATTAGTATGACCTTTCACGTAGCCCTCGAGTAGAGACACGGACGCAAAACTGGGATAATTGATTCTATTACCACCATGTGGTGTCTTTTACTAAACTAACTTTAATTATCATTTCCTCAGGTTTACAAAATGAAAAACTGGCTCACGAGTTCACATTACAATGATATCGAAGTTGGAACTGTAGAGTCGTTTCAAGGTAAAGAAAAGAGAGTGATCCTGGTTTCAACCGTCAGAGCAAATTGCCGACTGCTGGACTATGATGCCAAGTATGGACTAGGTTTTTTAGTTGATGACAAGGTAAATTATATGTTTTAAATTATTAGACCATGCTCAGGGTTTCCCTGCGTTATATATAGACTTAAAAATTAGTATACCCACAGTAAAACTACAGTAACCGACATAGCCTAATGGATTATTAAGCTGAAGTGGCAATGGGCCGGCCATATAGCTGGAAGAATCGACAACCAATGTGGAAGAAAGGTTTTCGAGTGGCAGCCTCGTACTGGTAGGGGAAGTGTAGGGCGTCCTTCCACTAGATGAAGTATCGGCCTGGTAAGATATGCAGGAAGTCAGTAGGTGGCATGTGGCTCAAGACCGTGCTTCGTGGCATTCCTTGGTGGAGGCCTATGTTCCGTAGTGGACTTGGCAAAGGCTGTAATGATGATGAGACCATAGTAATAAATAAATATAAATAGGTATTTTTTCAGTGTTACGAGGGCTATGTGTATGAGGAGTCGGTGTGATTCTTTGAGCCGTCACCACTTGGCAATATTCGGTATTGATTTGAATTTTTTTTAATGTTTAAAATAACAGTAGGTTATGTCGCGATCTGTCGTGATGAGAGAGGATTTGTGTTAACTTAAACAAACACTCACCCACTTACATTCATATCCTGTTTGATATCCTTTTAAGATTAATTGGTATGCGTGCAGTGGTTGCCCTAACCACTGCACGCATACCGATCAAATCATGTGACAAAATATCTGTCAGATACAAGGTGTGACTTATAATTAAGAATAAATCCTGAGGCCTTATACAAAGATTAAATTGGACGAAATTTAAGGTCAAGATAGTTGGCTTAAATTCTAAAAATATTGAGAAAACTTATGTAGCGTCAAAATATTTCCCCTTTTCCTTCAACGGTCAAACTTATGTGTATATTTATACCATACTAGCTGACCCGGCAAACGTTGTTTTGCCATATAAGTACATTATTTCTAAGAAATATTTTTTAGTTTAAAAGTCGCAATTAAAAAACAGGGGTTGATCGTAGAAGGGTGAAAATTTGAAGTTATATGTATTTTTAAATGCTAAATCATAATAAAATAAAAATATAAAATTCTGTCAAAAAAATTAAAAAAAATTTAGGGGTGTGGGTCACCCTTATCATTTAAGGGTTTGAAAAATATGCACACAAAATTTCATACAAATCGGTTCAGCCGTTTCGGAGGAGTTTGGTAACAAACACCGCGACACGAGAATTTTATATATTAGATTATGTCCAATCTAAAAGTTTTTTTGTAGGTATTCCAATGATTTCAAGCGTGCCGCAACTGTGGCAAATATCCCCTCTATATTATGGTATGGTAAGCCTATATACTTGTGTTGAGCGTTTTTGATTGACTTTAATGGGAAAATGTAAGTTACCGGCTTTATAATCCGTACTTTTATATTTACACTATACAGCTAAACCAAACTTTAAACGTCCAAACGAAGCCAACCACGATTTCCACCAAAGTTACACAATCATCACCTACATTCTGTCCCTTTATTATTTTTGGTTAATATTCATAACTTTTTTTTTTATATCAACTTTTACTGGATTTGCAGCGATTTAACGTCACACTGACACGAGCCAAAGCAAAACTAATAATTATTGGGAATCCTACCTGCCTCATAAGGGATCTCAAATGGCGCAAGTATATGAGCTTGTGTGCCGAATTCAAATCTTACTATGGTCAAAATGCCCAACAGCCGGAACGTACGTCGCAACTCCTCATCGATATTGCACGGACAAGGTTCGATAAATGCCGTATTTCAGAAGAGCTAAAGCCAAATTCGAAACAGAAAAAATAATTGTACTGATTTCGAAATCGAAATTTGAATCGTAGTTTTAGACGACTTGGATGCGAAAATTATGTAAGAATTTATAAAAGCACCATTAATTTCTTTTTGAAATTTAATGAATGCATTTAATTTTAACTAGATTCATAAGTACACGTTAAATATATTTTTTGATCATTTTGTTTTTTGTACAAAAATTATAAAAAATATATATTTTTGATACAATTATATTTTTGAACTTGTAGAAATGTAAGTATTTCTATTTCTGTTTCTATTGGCTACTTTCTCTCTTTATATTGTAGGCTATTCCTTATTACTAGTACTTTCTCTTCTTCCATTCTTGACTGTCTTTTTCTTACTGTATTTTATACTAGATTTGTAAATTTAATAACTAAAATTTATCATTTATTTTTACAAGTTTAATGAAATCAAAACATTCAAGAAGTATCAAAAGCAAATTCCAAAATGTATTCTGTAAATATTATAAGTTTTTTTCAATGCATCCATTTACCTGATACCTAATTTATTACCTATATCAGAAAAAATATATAAATTTAAAGTAAATAAATAATTGATTAAACAAATTATATTTTTGCAACACATCGAATATATTAATCCGAGGACCATAAGAAAATCTACAATAATGTGTGTTTATTTAGTTTTGTTTAATATGTTTGAAATAACATATTTTTTTAACTTTTTCGACTCAATAAGAATGTTTCGAGCGATTTGTGCATAGTTTAAACTTAGCAATACAATTTTTAATTTCACTTTGTAACTCCGTAAATAAAAATACAACTCGATCTGTGCAGAGTTAGCATATTTTAAATGTGAGACATTTTAATAATATAAGTTATCATTTCGAAAAACCATTTTATTGTGTCTAACTCTACATAAGATGAGGTTTCATTTATTCCTAATTGATGCAATCTGAATCCCACGGATACAGATATACATGCAACATACTTACTTTCGAAAACATTTTAAGGACGTGACAGCAACACATATACTTTTTATGCGGAAATTAAATGTGAAAGAGATTAGTAGACAAAATCAAATATTATTTTTGATAAAGAATGCACAAATGTTTACAATATGTTGACAGAAACAATTTTATTAGACTAAGTACGGTTAATTGTTATGTACATTTGCTAACTAAATTACTTTTTTAAAAATGACCAGTATTGCTTTTCTTTATATCTAATATGTATAACATAATTTTTCATAAAGACATGTTTAATTTTGTAATTATATTGTTAAGTGATTTTAGTTTAAATAATATAGACGTTTTGACAGTGATATAAAAATAAGATAATTCTTCTTCAGACTTAAACTATACCAATACACTCTTTTACTTCCAATTTGTAATTGTAATTCCATGTATGCATTTTACACTTAGTTTCGTAATTTATTGTATGTATTTTATTGGATAATACATGCGACGTGAATTTACAAGGGAGTCCAAATAACTACAAACAAGTAGTACATAAAGAAACAGTCAATTTCCTACTGTCCAATTGAAAAGCTTAATTTTTTAACTTAAAGTATGACATGAAGTGTTCTACTTAACAAAAAACTGGCAGACCACGAATTTGAAACCAAAGAAAATATATCTCAAATTAGTTGATTTCAGTGGGAGTAATAAATAATTGTTGTAATTCATCTCATGACATCATCCCGTTATATTCGCAGATAGTTTTGCATATCAACTATCTTTACTTTTTTATTCAAAATATAAACTAAAATAGAGTATGAGGATGTTGATTTGTCAGGATTTTTAAATGTTTAAGTAATAAATATATTAGTCTTGTTGTAGTGCGACAGTCAGCACATAAACTATTATACATATTCTCACCAAAATGTCCAACTTAGAACAAACATTTAAAAGCGTACTATGTACGAACATACAATTGTTGCTATTTTCTGTGATATTTAACGCTATTATCCAGTTCGCCTCTACATCTACTTCGGATTCAGGGCTCACAGCCTAGTATAGAATAATATTTTGGTCACTATATTGTAATAGTCTGCATGTGCAGCCTTTGAGCATCGTAACGTTTAACATCAATGCAACAATAAATTTTAAAATTTGCATACAACTTACAAATTAACATGGTCACACACTATTCAATACAACAATACGTATATTAACATCTTATTTTATTAGTGAAAGTTAATATGCTTATCTGCGAATAAAACGACGGCCCGTGTTAATTAATCATGTATAATCCATTACAGTCTCTAAAAGTTCACTGACGATCACAGGCCCTCTATAGATTTCCTCACGGAGGAGACTTTGCTATAGTTACCACGCTTGGCACGCGGGTTGAAAACCGCAGCACCAGAAAGATGTTCCTGCCCATAACCTGTTTCAGATCTCCCTGTCGCCTCTTACAACACGCACAGGCGATATGGGATAGTGGATACTATTACAACACCATTACATGTTTAAACCATATTATAATATAATAAATATTGTTAATAGTCAATACCTGTAAAAATCTTATGAATATGGTGCGTTTTTTCATATTTACTGTCTATAAATGACCTCATTATGTTTTAAATATTTTTAGAAATTTTTTAAATTTAATATAGTTCCTGTCTATTATTTTTATTATAATAAATGTTAAAGTTAATCATTATTAATTGACAAACTGTGATTGCGATTTTATTAATATAATTGTATTATTACAATTTACATTCGTTTCTTTTTCTGCAAGGAGATGTGTAGCAGACTATGATAAATTTTTCTTTAATGTTATAGTTTTAACTTCCCCATTCGGAAATTTGCAGACCAAAATTAACAATATGCACTATAATGAGACTTAAATTCGGTCCTCTGTTTCCAAAATATCTTTCCCCTCTGAAGTCTATTAAAATATTGTATCAACCTATTTCAATACGTGAACGTGCGATCTTGCTTTGAATTCTCCACTAATCCGGAGAGCTGCCATTTTGACTAACGTGTACTGGAGCCATTAGATACAAAGCTGCAAATTTGTGTGCTACCCGTGCAGTTAAAGAATGGGATTGAAAATGGCGTCGCCTCTATTCACTTCTCGGTCACACACTGTCGCTATCATGGGGGGTATATTGCCATAGTTGCCACGCTTGGCGATCGGGTTGGCATCCACAGTTCTTTAATTGTTGTTTTGCTGTTATCAGAAAGATGCTGCTGCCCATCTTCTGCCTCAGTTTCCATCTGTCTCCTCTTGCGATACCCACGGGAAGATATAGGGTATTAGGTATTCTTTCCCGCCACTACACGGGGCACTTGTCATTGGATTCTATGATAGCAACATACTATAATCTCCAAAAAAATTACCCTGGTTTTGCTAATTTGTGAGCTATTATATAGAATACTGTATTGGTGTAGTATTCTATGGTTAGCTACGACGCGTTCTGAGAATTTTCTTCATAGTTAATGTTTTTGTTTGTTAATATTTTTGTACAAAATATTTATTAGTTTTGGTACGATCTATGCAGAATGAACTTGCTGTGTCTTGAAGTCTTGCAGTGGTATGTTTGGGTTTAGTTTTAATTTTATTAATTACAGGATCCCTAGCAGGTGGTAGTACCCAGCCTCCCTCTCTATTAAAATTAGAATGTTTTTTTAAAATTTCAATGCATCTTCCTTGGCAGGAATCGAAGTTCTTTCGCGAGAATTTGTGGTTTATCCAATCTAATGTAATGGCGGGGGTCGTCTAGGATATGATCTCAAGCTGCTGCCTTGTACACTCCTGCATCTTGTAGAGGGATATTGTACTTGACGGATGGTAAGAACTGACTGATCTTCTTCGGCGGCTTGAAGAATGTTCTAATAGAAGCTCGCTTCAAGATGTAGCAAATGTTGTCTGTGACACCCATGACATAGGTAGTACAGCAGGCATGCACTGCACTGTGGCCGGCTTCACTCGGTCACTGTTATGTAGGTGCGGGACCTGAAGCTTGTTGTCGTGCAGAACCTGCTAGACGTGCTGAAGCTCCGCGGCCAGGTGTTTGCTGTCACGATCCCACGTGCTCTTTGTAAGAAAGATATGCCCACGGTAGCAACTGTGAAGGATGGTGGTGGGATTCACCGTTTAAATATTGGTTCGTATAGTCGAGCGTGAAAAATTTTGAGTTTTCATAAAAATAGAAATAAACACTGTGACTTTATTGTGATAATGCATTACTATAGACTGGTATTATTAAGTATGCATTGAAGTTTTTGGTTGTTTATGCATATATCTAAATGCGACTACTGACATATCACATGGCGCCTACACCCTAGATTGCCCCTGCCGCAGGGGCAATCTAGGGTGTAGGAGTGGGGATGACCCTTAATTGTGATGTGTGTAGGCAAGCAGGGGTAATTTTTTAAGTCTGCCCTGCGGCAGGGTGGCAGGAGCGCAAGACCTTTCTTGCTCCCTAGATCTGCCCTGCCGCTGGCGCGTGTGTAACGAAATTGGGGCAATTTCGCTACAAAGTTCGTTGCAACTTTCGCGCGGAACACACGTATGAGTACAAGTCAGAACCGCAGAAACAATGTTATTTGAACGTTGTAACTTACAAGTAACATTACTGAGATTTGTTACCTAACTTATCATAAGGGCTAGGTATGAGAAAAAATATATTCCAATACTATTAAAATTGCTGAAATATAAATAAAACGTCATTAACTATATAATAAAACAAAAATACAAATTTTTGTAATTAAATTTATTAAAACTCATCATTAGAAAACTATCCTGGCTATTTGTAACACTAGTTAAACTATAGTTACTAAGCACTAGTTAAGTTATATCACAGAATAAATTGATTATATTAAATTATGACGAGTGAAGTTAGTCATGTTCAATTGTCTTTGATAGCCTAAAAATAGCTTGGCAGAGCTATGCTGCAGCTTATAAGCACTATATTATGGTTGTAAATATTAATTAATTAGTTGTTTTATTGATAAATGTGGGTGTCTATGGGCCACACTGTCCACTTACCATCAGGTGGACTGTGCTCATTTGTCACCCTTATCC